ACTGTCACGGAGTTCACTAAATATTTTCATAAAGAAACTGATAAAACACACAGGTGCTAAATCAAGGTGATTTACAAAGATGAGGACCAAGAGCAAGAGAGGGACTGTGGTGATGTAGTGTCCATTTGGTGCGATTATTCGCAAATGGAAGAAACACAAAAGAACTGTCAATCTCCCTCGGCCTGGGGCTCCATGCAAGATCTCACCTCGTGGAGTTGCAATGATCATGAGAACGGTGAGGAATCAGCCCAGAAATAAACGGGACGATCTTGTCAATGATCTCAAGGCAGCTGGGACCATAGTCTCCAAGAAAACAATTGGTAACACACTACGCCGTGAAGGACTGAAATCCTGCAGCGCCCGCAAGTTCCCCCTGCTCAAGAAAGCACAAATACAGGCCCGTCTGAAGTTTGCCAATGAACATCTGAATGATTCAGAGGAGAACGGGTTGAAAGTGTTGTGGTCAGATGAGACCAAAATCGAGCTCTTTGCCATCAACTCAACTCGCCGTGTTTGGAGGAGAACCCGGAAGGATTGTTACCTATAACCCGGATTGCCAATACAAAAATAAAATGTTTGGCAAACAATTACCGTAATTTTCGGACTATAAGCCGCGCCTTTTTTCCCATTTTTCGACCCTGCGGCTTATATAACGGTGCGGCTAATCTATGGATTTTTACAGCTAACGGCCACTAGAAGACCTCCTAAATCTATGGATTTTACAGGTTACAGTCCACCAACTTTAACTCTATGGGCTCTATGACCGGTCCGCGCCCCCAACCTTTTAAGCGGCGGGCTCCAGCAGGAAAAGCTGGAGGCCGGAAAAGAGTGAGACAGGTAGCGCGCAAAAGTAAAAGTGGAACCGAGAGTGGTACGAGAGACAGAACGAGAGCAAGACAGACAGACATTACGAGAGCGAGACAGTTTGTCTCTTTCCCGACAATCCCCTCTGTGCACGAACCCTTACATATGGTAATTAAACATTAAAACACCTGCGGCTTATAGTCCAGTGCGGCTTATATATGTACACATCATTCAATATCATTCAATTTAGCTGCTGCGGCTTATACTCCGGTGCGCCTTATAGTGCGGAAAATACGGTATTGTGATTCATCCTGTATTGTCCCTAACATCAATCATTACCCCATAGCAACAGATGTGGGATACATACATACACACATACTCAAACACACTCGACACCTTTCCCCCACAAACAACCACAAGCGCAGATGTTCAACAGTTGTTCCATCCCAGAGCCCAACTCAAGAAAGGACTTGATGTGTGAATGCATATACAGTTGCAGCTGTTTGAGAAGGCATGCAAAATCCAAAAACTCCACTCACATACTCTGATGTGAACCATGTGCCACCACATTACAATGGATCTAGACACGCACACACACACATAAACACACACATAAACACACACACACATAAACACACACACATAAACACACACACATAAACACACACACATAAACACACACACACACATAAACACAGTGGTTAAGAGCGTTGTGCCAGTAATCGAAAGGTCGCTGGTTCTAATCCCCGAGCCGACTAGGTGAAAAATCTGTCGGTGCCCTTAAGCAAGGCACTTAACCCTAATTGGTCCTGTAAGTGGCTGTGGATAAGAGCTTCTGCTAAATGACTGTAATGACCCTAACCCTTAACCCTAATTGGTCCTGTAAGTGGCTGTGGATAAGAGCTTCTGCTAAATGACTGTAATGTAAACACTATTCTAAACTGTTTATTGTGTTGTGTTTGCAGTGGGTCTAGCAGCAGCATGACCGCAATAGACAACAAGATCGAGCAAGCCATGGTAGGCATGGTAACAACCTTAACCTTATTCTGATATCATGTATTGTGATATACAGGTCTCTGTTGTGTAATAACCTTATTCTGATATCATGTATTGTGATATACAGGTCTCTGTTGTGTAATAACCTTATTCTGATATCATGTATTGTGATATACAGGTCTCTGTTGTGTAATAACCTTATTCTGATGTTAGGGTTAGGGTTAGGGTTAGGGTTAGGGTTAAAGCCATGGTAGGTCTCTGTTGTTTAACAACCTTAACCTTATTCTGATGTCATGTATTGTGATATACAGGTCTCTGTTGTGTAATAATTTTATTCTGATGTCATGTATTGTGATATACAGGTCTCTGTTGTGTAATAACCTTATTCTGATGTCATGTATTGTGATATACAGGTCTCTGTTGTGTAATAACCTTATTCTGATGTCATGTATTGTGATATACAGGTCTCTGTTGTGTAATAACCTTATTCTGATATCATGTATTGTGATATACTGGTCTCTGTTGTGTAATAACCTTATTCTGATATCATGTATTGTGATATACAGGTCTCTGTTGTTTAATAACCTTATTCTGATGTCATGTATTGTGATATACAGGTCTCTGTTGTGTAATAACCTTATTCTGATATCATGTATTGTGATATACAGGTCTCTGTTGTTTAACAACCTTATTCTGATATCATGTATTGTGATATACAGGTCTCTGTTGTGTAATAACCTTATTCTGATATCATGTATTGTGATATACAGGTCTCTGTTGTGTAATAACCTTATTCTGATATCATGTATTGTGATATACAGGTCTCTGTTGTGTAATAACCTTATTCTGATATCATGTATTGTGATATACAGGTCTCTGTTGTGTAATAACCTTATTCTGATGTTAGGGTTAGGGTTAGGGTTAGGGTTAAAGCCATGGTAGGTCTCTGTTGTTTAACAACCTTAACCTTATTCTGATGTCATGTATTGTGATATACAGGTCTCTGTTGTGTAATAACCTTATTCTGATATCATGTATTGTGATATACTGGTCTCTGTTGTGTAATAACCTTATTCTGATGTCATGTATTGTGATATACAGGTCTCTGTTGTGTAATAACCTTATTCTGATATCATGTATTGTGATATACAGGTCTCTGTTGTGTAATAACCTTATTCTGATATCATGTATTGTGATATACAGGTCTCTGTTGTGTAATAACCTTATTCTGATATCATGTATTGTGATATACAATGAGTAGACTAAACATTAAGAACTTTCCATGACAGACTGACCAGGTGAATCCAGGTGAAAGCTATGATCCCTTATTGATGTCAGTTGTTAAATCCACTTCAATCAGTGTAGATGAAGGGGAGGAGACAGGTTAAAGAAGGATTTTTAAGCCTTGAGACAATTGAGACACAGATTGTGTATGTGTGCCATTCAGAGGGTGAATGGGCAAGACAAAATATTAAAGTGCCTTTGAATTGGGTATGGTAGTAGGTGCCAGGCGCACCGGTTTGTGTCAAGAACTGCAACAGTTTCCTGCGTGTATCAAAAATGGTCTACCACCCAAAGGACATCCAGCCAACTTGACAACTGTGGGAAGCATTGGAGTCAACATCTGCCAGCATCCCTGTGGAACGCTTTCAAGACCTTGTAGAGTCCATGCCCCGATGAATTGAGGCTGTTCTGAGGGCAAAACGGGGTGGAACTCAATATTAGGAAGGTGTTCTTAATGTTTTGTACACTCAGTGTAGATTGTTTTCTATATTTCAGGACCTTGTAAAGACCCACCTGATGCTGGCGGTCAGAGAGGAAGTGGAGTCGCTATGGGAACAGATTAAAGAACTATCAGAAAGGAACGCCCAGCTGGAGAGAGAGAACTATATCCTCAGGACTCTGAGAGACAGAGACTGACACACCAACAGCATGTTAAACTCCTGTAATGATCACTCTGTTGTTGAAATCATTAAGACCTGTAACATGACTGATGATGAAGAGTGATTCTCTCTAACTGCAGAAAACAATAATAAATAACTTACTAAAGAGCACTCACACTCACAGCGTTGTCGGGGGTAACCGGCTGAGCCGGGTCAGAATGTGGATTGGAACACTAAGAGGATGGGAAGGAAAGGATCCAACAGTATCAGGTGTCAATGTGGGTCAGCACACACCACACCTCTATACACACACCACACCTCTATACACACACCACACCTCTATACACACACCACACCTCTATACACACACCACACCTCTATACACACACCACACCTCTATACACACACCACACCTCTATACACACACACCTCTATACACACACACCTCTATACACACACATCCCGCAGACACCAGCACCTCTATACACACCCACACCTCTATACACACACCACACCTCTATACACACAACCACACCCTCTATACACCACACCCACAACCTCTATACACACACCACACCTCTATGACACACACACACCTCTAGTCACACACCACACCTCTATACCCACACCACAACCTCTATACACACACCCACCTCTATACACCACACACCACACCTCTATACACACACCACACCTCTATACACACACCACACCTCTATACACACACACTGGCTCTTTCTCAATTCATCTTAATTCCTCGCATCCTTTCCCAGTGTCTGAGGAAAGGGAACTTGAACCCTCTCCTTCAATACAGTTGACAAGGAGGCGAGGAGGAGAGGAGAGAGGATGGAAGGAATCAAGGAAAGATTAATTGAGATAAACCCATTGATTAAAACATGTTCTAAAACTTGATAGACCCATTGATTAAGACGTGTTAGGATACTTGATAGACCCATTGATTAAGACGTGTTAGGATACTTGATAGACCCATTGATTAAGACGTGTTAGGATACTTGATAGACCCATTGATTAAGACGTGTTAGGATACTTGATAGACCCATTGATTAAGACGTGTTAGGATACTTGATAGACCCATTGATTAAGACGTGTTAGACCATTAGGCTACCTGGGCGGCAGGCATGGTTTGAAATACCTGAAAAATTGAATCAAATACTTTATCTGTGATTGTTTGAGCTTGCCTGGCTTAATAAACCAATAGAGAAGTCCCAAAACTGCAAACCATCACCATTGCCACGCTGGTATTACAGCTGACGACAGACAGCGCCCTCCTATGGTGAACAATTATATTACAACTACAGTTCTTCAGATACTGTATGATCATACCGTTCCGCAACATGTAGAACATGATGCTGTTTATTATTAATTATTTAAAATACGAAAGCAGGGCATCCATCCAACAATACATCAATACATTCGAGTAATGAACGGAGCTGGGGCATTCAAAGGATGTTTCGCTTTCAACTTCGACTTTTTTTCGTTTGTCCCATCTACCGACCCGTCTGCTTACCTTCACATGTGCAGAGACGCAGCTAGCTGGCTATTTTGCTTGTTGTTTGAAATGAGTTGGCGAGTTTAGCCAGCTAGCTAATAAAAACGATTAGCTAGTAACTTTTAAACTCATCAACAAACCAGGTTGTCGTGAGTTTCGCTACTCTGTGAAGAAGACTGATCGAAGCTGAGATGAACCAATTTGAACAGTAAGTTGTGTGTCTGCCCGTGCTAGCCATCATGCTAGCTATGGTGCCCATTTTGTAGTGTAGTTAGCTACTCATTAAGATGCTAGGGTTGATTTAGTAAGCTAGTAACTACCCACATTCACCACTTAGCTAGTAACTACCCACATTCAACACTTAACTAGCAGCTACCCACATTCACCACTTAGCTAGCAGCTACCCACAGTCACCACTTGGTTAAAGTTAGCTAGCAGCTACCCACAGTCGCCACTTAGCTAACGTTAGCTAGCAGCTACCCACAGGCACCACTTAGCTAACGTTAGCTAGCAGCTACCCACATTCACCACTTAGCTAGTAACTACCCACATTCAACACTTAACTAGCAGCTACCCACATTCACCACTTAGTTAACAGATACCCACAGTCAACACTTATCTAACGTTAGCTAGCAGCTACCCACAGTCACCACTTATCTAACGTTAGCTAGCAGCTACCCACAGTCACCACCTTAGGTAACGTTAGCTAGCAGCTACCCACAGGCACCACTTAGGTTAACGTTAGCTAGCAGCTACCCACGGTCACCACTTGGTTGAAGTTAGCTAGCAGCTACCCACAGTCACCACTTGGTTAAAGTTAGCTAGCAGCTACCCACAGTCACCACTTGGTTAAAGTTAGCTAGCAGCTACCCACAGTCACCACTTGTTAAGTTAGCTAGCAGCTACCCACAGTCACCACTTGTAAGTTAGCTAGCAGCTACCCACAGTCACCACTTGTAACGTTAGCTAGCAGCTACCCACAGTCACCACTTGGTTAAAGTTAGCTAGCAGCTACCCACAGTCACCACTTAGCTAACGTTAGCTAGCAGCTACCCACAGTCACCACTTGGTTAAAGTTAGCTAGCAGCTACCCACAGTCACCACTTGGTTAAAGTTAGCTAGCAGCTACCCACAGTCACCACTTGGTTAAAGTTAGCTAGCAGCTACCCACAGTCACCACTTGGTTAAAGTTAGCTAGCAGCTACCCACAGTCACCACTTAGCTAACGTTAGCTAGCAGCTACCCACAGTCACCACTTGGTTAAAGTTAGCTAGCAGCTACCCACGGTCACCACTTGGTTGAAGTTAGCTAGCAGCTACCCACAGTCACCACTTAGCTAACGTTAGCTAGCAGCTACCCACGGTCACCACTTGGTTGAAGTTAGCTAGCAGCTACCCACAGTCACCACTTGGTTGAAGTTAGCTAGCAGCTACCCACAGTCACCACTTAGCTAACGTTAGCTAGCAGCTACCCACGGTCACCACTTGGTTGAAGTTAGCTAGCAGCTACCCACAGTCACCACTTAGCTAACGTTAGCTAGCAGCTACCCACGGTCACCACTTGGTTGAAGTTAGCTAGCAGCTACCCACAGTCGCCACTTGGTTAACATCATGTCTCATTGTACATTCAGACTTGGTTGTAACCTGCATGAAACTGGTAACTATTTAGCTCAGGCCTGGCTCCAGGATGACATGTCTCGGGGGTGGGGGGGCACAACTAGTATTGCTTTAGCACCCTAATAACACAATTGTAGATTACATTAACCGGATGGTTATTAACCGGAACCGGATGGTTATTAACCGGAACCGGATGGTTATTAACCGGATGGTTAATGTAATGTATCGACTTAGTAACAAACCCCCACCTCGCGACCCCAAACTGTTCACACCCCTCTTGTTGACTGAGAGAAAATGTTTCCGTTTTAAAGCCAATGTCCCGCAATTCTATGCAATCTTCCACATCTTATGTGTGTTTATATGATTCCAGGATTCGAAGCCCGAAACGTAAAAAAGAAACTGCTCCGTCCAGTTGAGTATGGAGGCTCTAGGCGGTATTCTGCCTTCTCCCTACAGTTTTCAGCCATTAGCTTCGCCCACTACTTCCTCATGTGAATTACAATCCCGACGCGGTGTTTTAACGTTTAGAAACTTCAATAATCTCTGTAGCTCAGCTGGTAGAGCACGGCGCTTGTAACGCCAGGGTAGTGGGTTCGATCCCCGGGACCACCCATACACAAAAATGTATGCACACATGACTGTAAGTCGCTTTGGATAAAAGCGTCTGCTAAATGGCAAATTATATTATATTATAAATTATATTATAATCATCGCTTGGGATACAGCTTTCAAAACATATGGCCCTTAGGAGTGGGAGCGAATTAGAGGGAGTATACGTTCTAGGGCCCGACAAAAAGAAATCGATTGGTCAAAATTTAAGGAAGTTACGGTATTAAGACTAAACGGAATGCGCTCTTAGGCCTACAGCTCGATGGTGGTTATACAGCCTACTAATGATAATGACATTACTTATTATTATAATGATCATCATAATAATTATAATAATAGTAATAATAAGGAGATCAAGGAAAAAGGAGGATTATTATAAATATATAATTTGGAATAGTGTAAACAACACAAAATAAATCATTAATAATAGCAGAGGTTGGTCTAAGCCTTTATTGCAGCATGGCAAAGATTAAAAACAGCTGAATTTGGGAAATTGTTGCGTCAGGCTTGGTGCTCACGGAATCAGTAGGCTATCAGGCAACAGAAGCAGGATCTGTCTTATTTTGTGCATTCGGAAAGTACATTCTTTAGGGTGGAGAAGGAATTGTCGCAAATTGCTGTAGATGGTTCAAATGTTAATCCATGTTTCAGTACCAGCAGCACAGTCGGCATTGCTGACAAAGGCCCACCGTGTCTTTGAAGAACACTGAGTGGGGTCTATTTGTTGTTGCTGGCTGTGATTGCGATTTCACTTTGCAAGAATGTGCAAGCCACAAACTCTGCTTCCACTTGTTCAGTTTTGGTTAGATCAAACAATTGCTTGACCTTGTTCACATCCCAAAAGTTTGGGCTCTAGGGATCCATGGCACAGCGAGCTTCCACGAGTTGTCTATTTCCTTCGTGATGAGATTTCCCCCAGCACGGCTTCCAAAGTGCTGAAAAACAGTTGCTTACTCTCGTCTCATCGTGCTGACCCACTGTGCTTTCAACTACATACTCTTACAGTTTTACTGAGTCTCCATCGTTTGCTTGGAGCTGGTGTGCTCGTGCCTTCCCGTTTGCTTGGAGCTGGTGTGCTCGTGCCTTCCCGTTTGCTTGGAGCTGGTGTGCTCGTGCCTTCCTGACATGCCTCGCAAAAGCTTTTTGAATTTAGCATCACATTGCAGTTTAACGCACCCATATGTACTGCGGACCAGTTTGACACCGGTGTGCAGATCAGTAGCTTCTGAGTGCAGTAACCTGTTAGGAGGGTTTTGGAACATCTACATTTAATAAATCAATGTAACACACACCACAATTCATCCATTTATTTATTTTAGTCAGGTCTAAAGAAACATTATGATATGAAGAACATTGAGTGGGCCAACTCATTCTGTTATGTGGTTATGCTCCATGCCGTAGGCTGCTGGCTTGTTCATTTAGCATTTAGATATTTTTCCCATTACGGAGCGAGTACACGTACACTACATAGCCAAAAGTATGTGGACACCTGCTCGTCGAACATCTCATTCCAAAATCATGGGCATGAATATGGAGTTGGTCCCCCCTTTGCTGCTATAACAGCCTCCACTCTTCTGGGAAGGCTTCCCACTAGATGTTGGAACATTGCTGCAGGGGACTTGCTTCCATTCAGCCACAAGAGCATTAGTGACGTCGGGCACTGATGTTGGGCGATTAGGCCTGGCTCGCAGTCTGCATTCCAATTCATCCCAAAGGTGTTCAATAGAATTGAGGTCAGGGCTCTATCCAGCAAACTAGCTATCCGTGTGTGTGTGTGTGTGTGTGTGTGTGTGTGTGTGTGTGTATATACACATACACATATTAAAGATGACCCAGAGTGTTAGGGTGTATAATGTGTGTGTGTAAATGCCCCCCCCCCCCCCCCCCCCCCAGTCTGAAAGACGACGACCCAGAGGATCAGGATGAGACTGTCTGTAACCAGGAGGAAGACGGCTCCATCAACAACAACCGGCGCAAGGTACGCAACACACACTAAACAACACACACATACACACACAGTGAATCCAAAACCAGCCCCTCCCAAAACCCCAACCCCTATCAACGTGTTGACTCAACCTAACCCAGCCCCTCCCAAAACCCCAACCCCTATCAACGTGTTGACTCAACCTAACCCAGCCCCTCCCAAAACCCCAACCCCTATCAACGTGTTGACTCAACCTAACCCAGCCCCTCCCAAAACCCCAACCCCTATCAACGTGTTGACTCAACCTAACCCAGCCCACTGTGGCGCCAGGCCCACCCAATCAGATTGAGCAAAACATTTATTTAATGCTCTCTACTTGTCAGTATTCCAAACTGAACATTGTTTGTCTTTTTACCTAAACATTAGATAGAAGTCATAGCAAGCAGTGTGCACTGGAATGACATTCAGATGAACTGGAATGACATTCACTCTCATGGGATGGGTGGCCAAAAATATCTAACTGAAAGCCACACCCCCAATAAGCCAGGAATATGACTGCATTGACATTTGAAACCCCACCTCTTTAAGGAATACCTGGGATAGGATAAAGTTATCCTTCTACCCCCCCTGTGGAGAAGTACAGATCAGGGTTGGGTTATAAAAAAATATCAAACTTTTAACATCCCACGGAGCACCATTAAATCCATTATTTAAAAATTGAAAGAATATGGCACCACAACAAACCTGCCAAGAGAGGGCCGCCCACCAAAAGTCAAGGACCGGGCAAGGAGGGCATTAATCAGAGAGGCAACAAAGATACCAAAGATAACCCTGAAGGAGCTGCAAAGCTCCACAGCGGAGATTGAATATCTGTCCATAGGACCACTTTAAGCTGTACACTCCACAGAGCTGGGCTTTACGGAAGAGTGGCCAGAAAAAAGCCATTGCTTAAAGAAAAAAATAAGCAAACACGTTTGGTGTTCGCCAAAAGGCATGTGGGAGACTCCCCAAACATATGGAAGAAGGTACTCTGGTCAGATGAGACTAAAATTGAGCTTTTTGGCCATCAAGTAAAACACTATGTCTGGCGCAAACCCATCACCTCTCATCACCCCGAGAACACCATCCCCACAGTGAAGCATGGTGGTGGCAGCATCATGCTGTGGGGATGTTTTTCATCAGCAGGGACTGGGAAACTGGTCAGAATTGAAGGACTGATGGATGGCGCTAAATACAGGGAAATTCTTGAGGGGAAACCTGTTTCAGTCTTCCAGAGATTGAGACTGGGACGGAGGTTCACCTTCCAACAGGACAATGACCCTAAGCATACTGCTAAAGCAACACTTGAGTGGTTTAAGGGGAAACATTTAAATGTCTTGGAATGGCCTAGTCAAAGCCCAGACCTCAATCCAATTGAGAATCTGTGGTATGACTTAAAGATTGCTGTACACAGTGGAACCCATCCAATTTGAAGGAGCTGGAGCAGTTTTGCCTTGAAGAATGGGCAGAAATCCCAGTGGCTAGATGTGCCAAGCTTATAGAGACATACCCCAAGAGACTTGCAGCTGTAATTGCTGCAAAAGGTGGCTCTACAAAGTATTGACTTTGAGGGGGTGAATAGTTATGCACGCTCAGGTTTTCTGTTTTTTTGTCTTATTTCTTGTTTGTTTCACAATAAAACATATTTTGCATCTTCAAAGTGGTAGGCATGTTGTGTAAATCAAATGATACAAACCCCCCAAAAATCCATTTTAATTCCAGGTTGTAAGGCAACAAAATAGGAAAAATGCCAAGGGGGGTGAATACTTTCGCAAGCCACTGTATATCCACCATGCCACTGTATATCCACCATGCCACTGTATATCCACCATGCCACTGTATATCCACCATGCCACTGTATATCCACCATGCCACTGTATATCCCCAGCCATGTATCACCATCCACTGTATATCCCCATGCCACTGTTATCACCATGCCACTGTTCCCTCCACTGTATCCACCATGCCACTGTCACATGCACGTTTCCACCTCACTGTACACAACACTGCCTTCTCCTCGTCACAACACTGTTTCCCCTCCTGTATTCCACCATCCACTGTCCACATCCACTGTTCTCCACTCCTGTCACACACTGTCATCCACCAGCCTCCTGTCACAACACTGTTTCCCTCCGTATCCACCCTCACTGTTCACACACTGTATCCACCTGCCACTGTCTTCCTGTCACAACACTGTCCTCCTCCTCCTCCTGTCACAACACTGTCCTCCACCTCCTCCTGTCACAACACTGTCCTCCACCTCCTCCTGTCACAACACTGTCCTCCACCTCCTCCTGTCACAACACTGTCCTCCTCCACCTCCTGTCACAACACTGTCCTCCTCCACCTCCTGTCACAACACTGTCCTCCTCCTGTCACAACACTGTCCTCCTCCTGTCACAACACTGTCCTCCTCCTGTCACAACACTGTCCTCCTCCTGTCACAACACTGTCCTCCTCCTGTCACAACACTGTCCTCCTGTCACAACACTGTCCTCCTCCTGTCACAACACTGTCCCTCCTCTTCCTCCTGTCACAACACTGTCCTCCTCCTCCTCCTGTCACAACACTGTCCTCCTCCTCCTCCTGTCACAACACTGTCCTCCTCCTCCTCCTGTCACAACACTGTCCTCCTCCTCCTCCTGTCACAACACTGTCCTCCACCTCCTCCTGTCACAACACTGTCCTCCACCTCCTCCTGTCACAACACTGTCCTCCCCTCCTGTCACAACACTGTCCTCCTCCTGTCACAACACTGTCCTCCCTCCTATGTCCACAACCCAACTGTCCTCCTCCTCCCTCCTCCTGTCACAACACTGCCTCCTCCTCTGTCACAACACTCCTCCTCCTGTCACAACACTGTCCTCCTCTCCTCCTCCTGTCACAACACTGTCCTCCTCCTCCTCCTGTCACAACACTGTCCTCCACCTCCTCCTGTCACAACACTGTCCCTCCACCTTCCTTCCTGTCACAACACTGTCCTCCTCCTCCTGTCACAACACTGTCCTCCTCCCTCCTGTCACAACACTGTCCTCCTCCTTCACAACTTCCTCCCTCCTGTCACAACACTGTCCTCCTCCTCCTCCTGTCACAACACTGTCCTCCTCCTCTGTCACAACACGTCCTCCTCCTCCTCGTCACAACCACTGTTCCTCCTCCTCCTGTCACAACACTGTCCTCCCTCCTTTCCACACTGTCCTCCTCCTCCTGTCCAACACCGTCCTCCTTCCTCCTGTCACAACCCTGTCCTCCTCCTCCTCCTGTCACAACACTGTCCTCCTCCTCCTGTCACAACCACTGTCCTCCTCCTTCCTGTCACAACACTGTCCTCCTCCTCCTCCTGTCACAACCCTGTCCTCCTCCTCCTCCCGTCACAACACTGTCCTCGTCCTCCGGTCACAACACTGTCCTCCTCCTCCTGTCACAACCCTGTCCCTCCGCCTCCTCCTGTCACAACACTGTCCTCCTCCTCCTCCTCCTGTCACAACACTGTCCTCCTCCTCCTCCTGTCACAACACTGTCCTCCTCCTCCTGTCACAACACTGTCCTCCTCCTCCTGTCACAACACTGTCCTCCTCCTCCTGTCACAACACTGTCCTCCTCCTCCTCCTGTACAACAACTGTCCTCCTCTTCCTCCTGTCACAACACTGTCCTCCACCTCCTCCTGTCCAACACTGTCCTCCACCTCCTCCTGTCACAACACTGTCCTCCTCCTCCTCCTGTCACAACACTGTCCTCCTCCTGTCACAACACTGTCCTCCTCCTCCTGTCACAACCCTGTCCTCCTCCTCCTCCTGTCACAACCCCTGTCCTCCTCCTCCTCCGTCACAAACCCCTGTCCCTCCTCCTCCTGTCACAACACTGTCCTCCTCCTCCTGTCACAACCCTGTCCTCCTCCTCCTCCTGTCACAACACTGTCCTCCTCCTCCTGTCACAACCTGTCCCCTCCTCCTCCTGTCACAACACTGTCCTCCCCTCCTCCTGTCACAACCACTGTCCTCCTCCTCCTCCTGTCACAACACTGTCCTCCTCCTCCTGTCACAACCCTGTCCTCCTCCTCCTCCTGTCACAACACTGTCCTCCTCCTCCTGTCACAACACTGTCCTCCTCCTCCTCCTGTCACAACACTGTCCTCCTCCTCCTGTCACAACCTGTCCTCCTCCTCCTCCTGTCACAACCCTGTCCTCCTCCTCCTCCTGTCACAACACTGTCCTCCTCCTCCTGTCACAACACTGTCCCCTCCTCCTCCTGTCACAACACTGTCCTCCTCCTCCTCCTGTCACAACACTGTCCTCCTCCTCCTCCTGTCACAACACTGTCCTCCTCCCCTCCTGTCACAACACTGTCCCCCCCTTCAACACGTCCTCCTCCTCCTGTCACAACACTGTCCTCCACAATCCTCCCTCTCCTGTCACAACCTGTCCTCCTCCTCCTCCTGTCACAACACTGTCCTCCTCCTCCTGTCACAACACTGTCCTCCTCCTCCTGTCACAACACTGTCCTCCTCCCCTCCTCCTCCTGTCACAACACTGTCTCTCCTCCCTCCTCCTGTCACAACCACTGTCCTCCTCCTCCTCCTGTCACAACACTGTCCTCCTCCTCCTCCTGTCACAACACTGTCCTCCTCCTCCTCCTGTCACAACACTGTCCTCCTCCTCCTCCCTGTCACAACACTGTCCTCCTCCTCCTCCTGTCACAACACTGTCCTCCTCCTTACAACACTGTCCTCCTCCTCCTGTCACAACACTGTCCTCCTCTCTCCTGTCACAACACTGTCCTCCTCCTCCTGTCACAACACTGCTCCTCCTCCTCCTGTCACAACACTGTCCCTCACTCCTCTCCTGTCACAACACTGTCCTCCTCCTCCTGTCACAACACTGTCCTCCTCCTCCTCCTGTCACAACACGTGTCCTCCTCCTCCTCCTGTCACAACACCTTCCTCCACCTGCCTCCCTGTCACAACACTGTCCTCCTCCTCCTCCTGTCACAACACTGTCCTCCTCTCCTCCTGTCACAACACTGTCCTCCCCTCCTCCTGTCACAACACTGTCCTCCTCTCCTCCTGTCACAACCACTGTCCTCCTCCCTCCTCCTGTCACAACACTGTCCTCCCTCCTCCTCTGTCACAACACTGTCCTCCTCCTCCTCCTGTCACAACACTGTCCCTCCCCTCCTCCTGTCACCAACCCTCCCTCCGTCCCTCCTCCTCCTCCTGTCACAACACTGTCCTCCTCCTCCTCCTGTCACAACACTGTCCTCCTCCTCCTCCTGTCACAACACTGTCCTCCTCCTCCTCCTGTCCACAACATGTCCTCCTCCTCCTCCTGTCACAACACTGTCCTCCCCTCCTCCTGTCACAACACTGTCCTCCTCCTCTCCTGTCACAACACTGTCCTCCTCTCCCTCCTCCTTGTCACAACACTGTCCTCCTCCTCCTGTCACAACCACTGTCCCCTCCTCCTCCTGTCACAACACTGTCCTCCTCCTCCTCGTCACAACCTGTCCTCCATCCTGTCACAAACCTGTCCTCCTCTCTCCTCCTGTCACAACACTGTCCTCCCTCCTCCTCCTGTCACAACACTGTCCTCCTCCCCTGTCACAACACTGTCCTCTCCTCCTCCTGTCACAACCCTGTCCTCCTCCTCCTCCTGTCACAACACTGTCCTCCTCCTCCTCCTGTCACAACACTGTCCCTCCTCCTCCTGTCCAACCCTGTCCTCCTCCTCCTCCTGTCACAACACCTGTCCTCCTCCTCCTCCTGTCACAACACTGTCCCTCCTCCCTCCTGTCACAACCCTGTCCTCCTCCTCCTCCTGTCACAACACTGTCCTCCTCCTCCTGTCACACACACTGTCCTCCTCTCCTGTCACAACACTGTCCTCTCTCCTCCTGTCACAACACTGTCCTCCTCCTCCTGTCACAACACTGTCCTCCTCCTCCTGTCACAACACTGTCCCTCCGTCCGTCCTCCTCCGTCACAACACTGTCCTCCTCCTCCTCCTGTCACAACACTGTCTCCTCCTCTCCTGTCCACAACCACTGTCCTCCTCCTCCTCCTGTCACAACCTGTCCTCCTCCTCCCCTGTCACAAACCTGTCCTCCTCTCTCCTGTCACAACCCTGTCCTCCTCCTCCTCCTGTCACAACCTGTCCTCCTCCTCCTGTCACAATCCCTGTTCCTCCTCCTCCTCCTGTCACAAACACTGTCCTCTCCTCCTCCTGTCACAACCCTGTCCTCCTCCTCCTCCTGTCACAACCCTGTCCTCCTCCTCCTCCTGTCACAACCCTGTCCTCCTCCTCCTCCTGTCACAACACTGTCCTCCTCCTCTGTCACAACACTGTCCTCCCTCCTCCTGTCACAACCTGTCCTCCCTCCTCTGTCACAACCTGTCCCTCCTCCATCCTCCTCCGTCACAACACTGTCCTCCTCCTCCTGTCACAACCTGTCCTCCTCCTCCTCCTGTCACAACACTGTCCTCCTCCTCCTCTGTCACAACCTGTCCTCCTCCTGTCACAACACTGTCCTCCTCCTGTCCAACACTGTCCTCCCTCCTCCTGTCACAACCTGTCCTCTCCTCCTCCTGTCACAACCCTGTCCTCCTCTCCTCCTGTCACACTGTCCCCTGTCCTACCAGTCCTCCTCCTGTCACAAACCTGTCCTCCTCCTCCTTGTCACAACCACTGTCTCCTCCTCCTCCTGTCACAACTCCCCTGTCACTCCTCTCTGTCACAACACTGTCCTCTCCTCCTCCTGTCAAACACTGTCCTCCTCCTCCTCCTGTCACAACACTTGTCCTCCTCCTCCTGTCAACACTGTCCTCCTCCTCCTCGTCACAACACTGTAATCCTCTCCTCCTGTCACAACACTGTCCTCCTCCTCCTGTCACAACCCTGTCCTCCTCCTCCTCCTGTCACAACCGTTTCCTCCTCCCTCCTGTCACAACCACTGTCATCCTCCTCATGTCACAACACTGTCCTCCTCCTCCCTGTCACAACACTGTCCTCCTCTTCCTCCTCTGTCACAACACTGTTCCTCCTCTTCCTCCTCCTGTCACTACACTGTCCTCCTCTTCCTCCTGTCACAACACTGTCCTCCTCCTCCTCCTGTCACAACCCTGTCCTCCTCCTCCTCCTCCTGTCTAAAAGACAACTAGTAAAGTAAGAGTACATATATTTGTATTATTAGACGTTCTGGCTTGTAGAGAATATTGCTTATTTTTTACAGCAACTTCCAGACTGAGATCCATGGAGTATCCATGGTAACAGTGATGTTAGACAATCAGTCCGTCTCTGTTCTCATCGTCTTTTCTAACTTGAACCCAAATGATTGAATCAGATGTTCTCCTTGCAGATGAATCCTGTGTAACCTGTTATAACTAATGGCTCATATACTGACTGTGTGTTAGACGGTGAGTCCTGCAGCAGGCGAACACCCTCTACAGTATAACTACTCCTTGTGGTATTCTCGGAGGACTCCGTCCCGGCCCGCCAACACACAGAGTTATGAACAGAACATCAGACAGATCGGCACGGTCGCCTCGGTCAGTACATATCATATACACACAGCACTGGGTTAAATATGTGGTTGACAGGGTTAGGATGTGACCAGCTGATTGGTTGTTATATTCTTGTGCTGTGATTGGTTGATATTGTAATGCTGTGCTGTGATTGGTTGACAGGTGGAACAGTTCTGGAAGTTTTACAGTCACCTGATGCGACCGGGAGATCTGACTGGCCACTCCGACTTCCACTTGTTTAAAGAGGGAATCAAACCCATGTGGGAGGTAACATATAGATACAGTGCATTTGAAAAGTATTCAGACCCCTTGACTTTTTCCACATTTTGTTACGTTACAGCCTTATTCTAAAATGGATTCAATTGTTTTTTTCTCAATCTACACACAATACCCCATAATGACAAAGCGAAAACAGGTTTTTCATTTTTTGTGTGCAAATTTATAAAAAAATAAACATACTTTATTTGCATAAGTATTCAAACCCTTTGCTGTGAGACTCGAAATTGAGCTTGGGTGCATCCTGTTTCCATTGATCATCGTTGAGATGTTTCTACAACTTGGAGTCCACCTGTGGTAAATTCATTTTATTGGACATGATTTGGAAAGGCACACACCTGTCTATATAACGTCCCACAGTTGACAGTGCAGAAACCAAGCCATGACGTCAAAGGAATTGTCCGTAGAGCTTCGAGACAGGATTTTGTCGAGGCACAGATCTGGGGAAGGGTACAAAAAATGTATTTGTATTTATTATGGATCCCGTTAGTTCCTGCCAAGGCAGCAGCTACTCTTCCTGGGGTCCAGCAAAATTAAGGCAGTTATACATTTAAAAAACATTACAATACATTCATTACAGATTTCACAACACACTGTGTGCCCTCAGGCCCCTACTCCACTACCACATATCTACAACACTAAATCCATGTGTACGTGTGTGTATAGAGCGTATGTTATCGTGTGTGTGTCTGCATGTGTCTGTGTCTATGTTTGTGTTGCTTCACAGTCCCCGCTGTTCCATAAGGTGTATTTTTATCTGTTTTTTAAATCTGATTCTACTGCTGGCATCAGTTACCTGATGTGGAATAGAGTTCTATGTAGTCATGGCTCTATGTAGTACTGTGTGTCTCCCATAGTCCGTGTTCAAGACGCACAGTACTACATAGATAGTACTGTCCCCTGTATTTTGAGTTTTTTCCAATTGTTCTCTGTAGATCCTCTCAAGCTGTCAGGTTGGATGGGGAGCGTCGCTGCACAGCTATTTTCAGGTCTCTCCAGAGATATTTGATCGGGTTCAAGTCCAGACTCTTGCTGGGCCACTCAAGGACATTCAGAAACTTGTCCCGAAGCCACTCCTGCATTGTCTTGGCTGTGTGCTTAGGGTCGTTGTCCTTTTGGAAGGTGAACCTTCGCCCCAGTCTGAGGTCCTGAGTGCTCTGGAGCAGGTTTTCATCAAGGATCTCTCTAAACTTTGCTCCGTTCATCTTTCCCTTGATCCTGACTAGTCTCCCAGTCCCTACCGCTGAAAAACATCCCCACAGCATGATGCTGCCACCACCATGCTTCACCGTAGGGATGGTGCCAGGTTTCCTCCAGACGTGACGCTTGGCATTCAGGCCAAAGAGTTCAATCTTGGTTTCATCAGACCAGAGAATCTTGTTTCTCATAGTCTGAGAGTCTTTAGGTGCCTTTTGGCAAACTCCAAGTGGGCTGTCATGTGCCTTTTACTGAGGAGTGGCTTCCGTCTGGTCAATCTACCATAAAGGCCTGATTGGTAGAGTGCTGCAGAGGTGGTTGTCCTTCTGGAAGGTTCTCCCATCCCCACAGAGGAACTCTGGAGCTCTGTCAGAGTGACCATTGGGTTCTTGGTCACCTCCCTGACCAAGGCCCTTCTCCCCCGATTGCTCAGTTTGGCCGGGCGGCCAGCTCTCGGAAGAGTCTTGGTGGTCTTCCATTTAAGAATGATGGCGGCCGCTGTGTTCTTGGGGACCTTCAATGCTGCAGACATTTTTTGGTACCCTTCCCCAGATCTGTGCCTCGACACAATCCTCTCTGAGCTCTACGGACAATTCCTTCGACCTCATGGCTTGGTTTTTGTTCTGACATGCACTGTCAACTGTGGGACCTTATATAGATAGGTGTGTGCCTTTCCAAATCATGTCCAATCAATTGAATTTACCAATCAAGTTGTAGAAACATCTCAAGGATGATTCAATGGAAACAGGATGAACCTGAGCTCAATTTTGAGTGTCATAGCAAAGGGTCTGAATACTTATGTAAATAAGGTATATAATTTTTTTAGCAAAAATTTCTCAACCCGTTTTCACTTATGGGGTATTGTGTGTAGATTGAGTTTTTATTAATTGAATCCATTTTAGAATAAGGCTGTAATGTAACAATATGGAGAAAGGGAAGGGGTCTGAATACTTTCTGAATGTGCTGTGTGCTCTAACTCCAGACATATGGTTCCTATTCAACCCTCAGACAGGCCCTCTTTCTCTCTGCCCAAATACAATGCACAGAGATCATTCCATCTAACCCATACAAAAGAATGACTACTGCTAGGCTAATTATACAGTTGGAAACAGATTAAAATGTGCTCAAGTCAGTCTCCAACAGTATTCACTGTGTGTGTGATGTATGTAAGGTGGTGAGTCAATCAGCATGATAGCATCCCATCCACTATAACCATACCTTTTGGTATTCACTGTGTGTGTGTGTGTAACCCTCCAGGATGAAGCCAATAAGAACGGTGGGAAGTGGATCATCAGGCTGCGGAAAGGTCTGTAGTTAATAATATTATTATTATTAGGCCGAGCAACCTGTTTGCTTTTTTTCGTTCTCTAAACCTCCCTTTTTAAATGTCGACTTTGGGCAAAAACGCAAAAATAACAGCTTTAAACTGTATAAATGATCAATGCACCACATAGAGAATGATAGAAGCTTCTAGTGGCCAAAAGGCCATATTAGCATGGGCAGCACCATTGAGGGCTTCCGCCATTTTAAAGCAGTCAACTGGGTGGGGATTCCTATGGGTTGTAGCCTCAATGGTGCTGCCCATGCTTTCACAGACGCTCTGATGGCACAGATATAAAGAGGAGTCATCTCTATGATGTACCATCAGACCAGCTCATTAGGGTTAGGGTTATATAAAGAGGAGTCATCTCTATGATGTACCATCATACCAGCTCATTAGGGTTAGGGTTATATAAAGAGGAGTCATCTCTATGATGTACCATCATACCAGCTCATTAGGGTTAGGGTTATATAAAGAGGAGTCATCTCTATGATGTACCATCATACCAGCTCATTAGGGTTAGGGTTATATAAAGAGGAGACTCCTCTGTACCATCATACCAGCTCATTAGGGTTAGGGTTATATAAAGAGGAGTCATCTCTATGATGTACCAGCTCATTTAAATGTTTAAATAATTGATGATTAAAATATTTAGCTACAGAAGTGCCAGTTCTACCGGATCTCTACAGGCTTCTCGTCCTCCTAAAACAAAATCACTGGAAACTGACATCAACACATCACTTGGAGGGAGTTACCTGGGACTAGCTACAGTGGCTAGCGGCTTTAAGCTAACGAACTAGCTAAAGTCCTGGAGGAGGTTACTGGATAGCTAACCGTGGCTAGCTTAGATAACGAACTAGCCTAAGGCTGGAGGAGTTACTGGATAGCTACAGTGGCAAGCTTAGATAACGAAACTTAGCTCAAGTCTGGATGGAGTTACTGGGATAGCTACAGTGGCTTAGCTAGATAACGAACTAGCTAAGTCTGGAGGGAGTTAACTGGATAGCTACAGTGGAGCTCTTAGATAACGAAACTAGCTACGTCTGGAGGAGTTACTGGATAGCTACCGTGGCTAGCTTAGCTAACGAACTAGCTACGTCTGGAGGAGTTACTGGATAGCTACAGTGGCTAGCTTAGCTAACGAACTAGCTAAGTCTGGAGGAGTTACTGGATAGCTACAGTGGCTAGCTTAGCTAACGAACTAGCTACGTCTGGAGGAGTTACTGGATAGCTACAGTGGCTAGCTTAGCTAACGAACTAGCTAAGTCTGGAGGAGTTACTGGATAGCTACAGTGGCTAGCTTAGCTAACGAACTAGCTAAGTCTGGAGGAGTTACTGGATAGCTACACTGGCTAGCTTAGCTAACGAACTAGCTAAGTTGGTCACGACGCGCATGACCAGAATGACACATCGATGAACTACCAAAGGCGCACTCCATTTCTGTTAACAAATGTAGAAAGAGGTGGAGTTGGACAGTTTTTCGTGCACAAAGTATACCTTTAACTTTCTAAACCTCCCTTTAACATTCTGAACATCCCCTTAATGTTCTAAACCTCCTTTTTAAAATTCTAAACCGCCCTTTAACATTCTAAATCTCCTTTTAACATTATAAACCTCCCTTTAGCGTTCTGCGCTGTTCTTTAAGCCTCCCTTTAATATTGTTATTGTTCATGTTGTTGTATTGATGTTATTGTTGTTGACAGGTCTGGCCAGCAGGTTCTGTAATAACATTATTCTGGCCATGTTGTTAATGTTGTTGTTGTTGTTGTTGACAGGTCTGGCCAGCAAGTTCTGGGAGAACATTATTCTGGCCATGTTGTTAATATGGTATTTCTTAATATTGTTGTTGACAGGACTAGCCAGCAAGTTCTGGGAGAACATTATTCTGGCCATGTTGTTAATGTTGTTGTTGTTGACAGCTCTGGCCAGCAAGTTCTGGGAGAACATTATGCTGGCCATGTTGTTAATATTGTTCTTAATGTTATTGTTGTTGTTGTTGACAGGTCTGGCCAGCAGGTTCTGGGAGAACATTATTCTGGCCATGTTGTTAATATTGTTCTTAATGTTATTGTTGTTGTTGTTGACAGGACTGGCCAGCAAGTTCTGGGAGAACATTATTCTGGCCATGTTGTTAATGTTGTTGTTGTTGTTGACAGGACTGGCCAGCAAGTTCTGGGAGAACATTATTCTGGCCATGTTGTTAATATTGTTCTTAATGTTGTTGTTGTTGTTGACAGGTCTGGCCAGCAGGTTCTGGGAGAACATTATTCTGGCCATGTTGTTAATGTTGTTGTTGTTGTTGTTGTTGTTGACAGGTCTGGCCAGCAGGTTCTGGGAGAACATTATTCTGGCCATGTTGTTAATATTGTTGTTGTTGTTGACAGGTCTGGCCAGCAGGTTCTGGGAGAACATTATTCTGGCCATGTTGGGAGAACAGTTCATGGTGGGAGAGGAGATCTGTGGAGTGGTGGTCTCTATACGCTTCCAGGTACACACACACACGGGCTGGATCTCTTGGCTCTAAGCCCTTTATCGAGTGGCCACTTGCTGATGTGTTTGATAGTAATCACTAAGTTTTTTTTGGGGCAAAATTATCATTGAGACGATGCCCACTCTACGTCCCACTTGTCAATATTCAAAAATTCTAAATCCATTCGCGACCATTATCTCCCGCGACTCGTCTTGTAACATAACTCGCTATGAAACGCGGGCACTTGGACCTGGCGCAGACAGAGGCACAGGCTACTCCGGAAGACAGTGAGGAAGTTGTACAAAATATGTGCAAGTATATCGATTGCCAATGACTTCATCAGCTGATTTAGCTTGTTGTAGCCTGCTGCTAGCTAGCTTCACTGACAAACAGTGGGATGGAATTTAAGCTAGTTAAGGATTTAAGGACACTGCATTGATAATGTTTTAGCTTTTCACTGATTGACGATAGTTTGACAGCTTGCTGATGAATTTGTAGACTTGTTCACTTCCCAGCAGTCAGTCCGTAGGCTACTTCCGCATGTTTTCACCAATCGCTACGTTGTGGGACAGCTGAGCTCACAGTGCAGCAGCAGCTGATTGGATAAGGCAATGAGTCGGGACAGAACAGGCAGTTGCTACTTCATTACAATTTGTTCATTGTGATAAGATAATGTTACTACAGTAATAGTAATAATAACAACTTTGGGGGTGCTGATATTTGTCCTGTTAGCTAGCTTATTGAAGGAACATTGCATTTATTATTATTATTATTATTATTATTATTATTAGTGTTGCACAGCTGATTTAGCTTATTTCGTTTCATATGAAGTGGTTGGCTCAGGATTACAGTTTAGCAAACTAATGGAATTGGAATATGAAGAGACTGGCTCATGCTTACAGCTAGCTAGCAAGCTAATGGAATTGGAATATGAAGAGACTGGCTCATGCTTAGAGCTAGCTAGCAAGCTAATGGAATTGGAATATGAAGACTGGCTCATGCTTAGAGCTAGCTAGCAAGCTATTGGAATATGAATAGACTGGCTCATGCTTAGAGCTAGCTAGCAAGCTATTGGAATATGAATAGACTGGCTCATGCTTAGAGCTAGCTAGCAAGCTAATGGAATTGGAATATGAAGACTGGCTCATGCTTAGAGCTAGCTAGCAAGCTATTGTAATATGAAGAGACTGGGTCATGCTTAGAGCTAGCTAGCAAGCTAATGGAATTGGAATATGAAGAGACTGGCTCAGGATTACAGCTAGCTAGCAAACTAATGGAATTGGAATATGAAGAGACTGGCTCAGGATTACAGCTAGCTAGCAAGCTAATGGAATTGGAATATGAAGAGACTGGCTCATGCTTAGAGCTAGCTAGCAAGCTAATGTAATGGACAAGTTTGTGTGTACATTAAACATTAGAAATACAGCTCATTCAAGCACTAAACTCCTTAGCTAGATGGAAAATCGCATGACTAAGACCTCCTCGGTAAAACTTGATTTCTGTTGACTTATTCAGACTATTTTTGAGGGCGAAGTAGTTGTCACATGCTGAAATTCTTGGGAAGAACTTGCTGCCATGGGCACAAAGTTGGCAAAGGATTCACACTTGAGGAAGAGGCTTCCAAAGGGTGCAGTGGAGCCCTCGATGACTCGACAACTAGCGTTTTGGGGATGACTGAACGCGCATATCGAAGTGGTCAAAGTGTTGGGTTTGAGATTCAGCCTCACTCACTCGTGTGTGTCTCTCTCTCTAGGAAGACATCCTGTCTATATGGAATAAGACGGCCAGCGATCAGGTGACGACATCTAGAATCCGAGACACTCTTCGACGTGTCCTGAACCTCCCTCCCAACACCATCATGGAGTACAAGACACACAACGACAGTCTCAAGTACGATTCACACACACTCCCACCATCGTGTACACACTATGGATAATTCTGTTTATTGATCTCTCTCTGTCTGTTTTCTTTTTAGGGATAATTCCAGCTTCCGCAACACAAAGATCACCCTGTGAAGAGAGACGGAGGAGAACCACCTGACCGTATCTGTTTCCTCTGGGACCATAACATCTCTCTCCCTGCCTCCCGTTCTCTCTCTCTCTCTCCCTGCCTCCCGTTCTCTTCTCTCCCTGCCTCCCGTTCTCTCTCTCTCCCTGCCTCCCGTTCTCTCTCTCCACTGCCTCCCGTTCTCTCTCTCTCTCCCTGCCCTCCCGTTCTCCTCTCTCTCTCCCTGCCTCCGTTCTCTATCTCTCCCCTGCCTCCCGTCTCTCTCTCTACCCGCCCTCCCGTTCTCTCTCTCTCTCTACCTGCCTCCCGTCTCTCTCTTCTCTCTCTCCCTGCCCCCGTTCTCTCTCTCTCTCTTCCCGCTCCCGTTCTCTCTCTCTCTTCTCCCTGCCTCCCGTTCTGCTCTCTACTCTCTGCCTCCCGTTCTCTCTCTCTCTCTCCCTCCTCCGTTCTCTCTCTCTCTCTCTCCTTGCCTCCCCGTTCTCTTCTCTCTCTCCCTGCCTCCCGTTCCTCTCTCTCTCTCTCCCTGCCTCCCGTTCTCTCTCTCTCTCTCCCTGCCTCCCGTTCTCTCTCTCTCTCCCTGCCTCCCGTTCTCTCTCTCTCTCTCCCTGCCTCCCGTTCTCTCTCTCTCTCTCCCTGCCTCCCGTTCTCTCTCTCTCTCTCTCCCTGCCTCCCGTTCTCTCTCTCTCCCTGCCTCCCGTTCTCTCTCTCTCTCTCCCTGCCTCCCGTGTTCTCTCTCTCTCTCTCTCCCTGCCTCCCGTTTCTCTCTCTCTCTCTCTCTCCCTGCTTCCCAAACTGCCAGGCAGGTACAGAATTGACTGATTAGGTGCCACCAAATGTCACATCGATCGCTAAAAGGCCGGGCAAATGTAGTTTAAGCCTGCCTTTTGTGCGTATGGAAAATTGTTGTGATTTTTAAATTCATTTCAGCTCATGAAAAATGGGACCAACACTTTACATTTTTAAATTATAGTTTACCCACCTTTTTCTACCACTACCATCACTGGACCCAACCAACCCACACTGTGTAACATGTGGTGGTGATATACTGCCATCTGGTGGCGACTAGAAACAATTGCATATTAGGAACTATTACAAATTGATGGTCCTTGAAAATAAATATTAGTGCTTGAAAGTCCTTGAATTTGACTTGCCACTCTCTGTATGAACCCTGTCTCTCTTCCTGTCGCTCTCTTGCTTGTGTTGCTATAGAAACTAGTGTGTTACTATGGAGACATGAACAGTTGGGACCAACTGAGTGTGTGTCAGTGACTATACAGAAATAAAGGTGTTTTTGGATCCTGTCTTGACTACTTCACTGTGACTCTTGATTTGTGAGAATGCTTATTGAATTCTGATAATACAGTAACCTGTTGTGGTGCGGTACAGGGCCCAGCAAGTTAGAAAGTGACATCATACAGCCCTTGGCTTTTTGGAAATGGAACTCCTCTTACTCTATGGGGTGGCACAGCCGGGCATGGACCCCAACCAGCCGGGCATGGACCTTAACCAGCCGGGCATGGACCTTAACCAGCCGGGCATGGACCTTAACCAGCCAGCCGGGCATGGACCTTAACCAGCCGGGCATGGACCTTAACCAGCTAGCCGGGCATGGACCTTAACCAGCCAGCCGGGCATGGACCTTAACCAGCCGGGCATGGACCTTAACCAGCCGGGCATGGACCTCAGCCAGCCGGGCATGGACCCCAACCAGCCGGGCTTGGACCTCAGCCAGCCGGGCATGGACCTTAACCAGCCGGGCATGGACCCCAAACAGCCGGGCATGGACCTTAACCAGCAGGGCATGGACCCCAACCAGCCGGGCATGGACCCCAACCAGCCGGGCATGGACCTTAACCAGCCGGGCATGGACCTCAACCAGCCAGCCGGGCATGGACCTCAACCAGCCAGCCGGGCATGGACCCCAACCAGCCGGGCATGGACCCCAACCAGCCGGGCATGGACCCCAACCAGCCGGGCATGGACCCCAACCAGCCGGGCATGGACCTTAACCAGCCGGGCATGGACCCCAACCAGCCGGGCATGGACCTTAACCAGCCAGCCGGGCATGTACCTTAACCAGCCAGCCGGGCATGGACCTTAACCAGCCAGCCGGGCATGGACCTTAACCAGCCAGCCGGGCATGGACCTTAACCAGCCAGCCGGGCATGGACCTTAACCAGCCAGCCGGGCATGGACCTTAACCAGCCGGGCATGGACCTTAACCAGCCGGGCATGGACCCCAACCAGCCGGGCATGGACCCCAACCAGCCGGGCATGGACCCCAACCAGCCGGGCATGGACCTTAACCAGCCGGGCATGGACCTTAACCAGCCGGGCATGGACCTTAACCAGCCGGGCATGGACCGTAGCCAGCCGGGCATGGACCTTAACCAGCCGGGCATGGACCTTAACCAGCCGGGCATGGACCTTAACCAGCCGGGCATGGACCCCAACCAGCCGGGCATGGACCTTAACCAGCCGGGCATGGACCGTAGCCAGCCGGGCATGGACCTTAACCAGCCGGGCATGGACCCCAACCAGCCGGGCATGGACCTTAACCAGCCGGGCATGGACCCCAACCAGCCGGGCATGGACCTTAACCAGCCGGGCATGGACCTTAACCAGCCGGGCATGGACCTTAACCAGCCGGGCATGGACCTTAACCAGCCGGGCATGGACCCCAACCAGCCGGGCATGGACCTTAACCAGCCGGGCATGGACCTTAACCAGCCGGGCATGGACCCCAACCAGCCGGGCATGGACCCCAACCAGCCGGGCATGGACCCCAACCAGCCGGGCATGTACCGTAGCCAGCAGGGCCGGCTCTATGGGGTGGCAAAGCCAGGCATGGAGCCCCCAGATATAATTTTTGCTCCCCCAGTTTTGTTTCCCCATAAACATAACAAATGGTATATGAATGACCATGTCCGGTTTTGCCAATGAAGACCAGACCGGGACAGAGTCTGTAAGTGCGGCGGCCCTTTTGGGGGGATAACAAAGCAACTTCCATGTAGTGAATCATCCAACTTCCATGTAGTGGATCATCCAACTTCCATGTAGTGAATCATCCAACTTCCATGTAGTGAATCATCCAACTTCCATGTAGTGAATCATCCAACTTCCATGTAGTGAATCATCCAACTTCCATGTAGTGAATCATCCAACTTCCATGTAGTGAATCATCCAACTTCCATGTAGTGAATCATCCAACTTCCATGTAGTGAATCATCCAACTTCCATGTAGTGAATCATCCAACTTCCATGTAGTGAATCATCCAACTTCCATGTAGTGAATCATCCAACTTCCATGTAGTGAATCATCCCAACTTCCATGTAGTGAATCATCCCAACTTCCATGTAGTGAATCATCCCAACTTCCATGTAGTGAATCATCCCAACTTCCATGTAGTGAATCATCCCAACTTCCATGTAGTGAATCATCCCAACTTCCATGTAGTGAATCATCCCCAACTTCCATGTAGTGAATCATCCCAACTTCCATGTAGTGAATCATCCCAACTTCCATGTAGTGAATCATCCCAACTTCCATGTAGTGAATCATCCCAACTTCCATGTAGTGAATCATCCCAACTTCCATGTAGTGAATCATCCCAACTTCCATGTAGTGAATCATCCCAACTTCCATGTAGTGAATCATCCCAACTTCCATGTAGTGAATCATCCCAACTTCCATGTAGTGAATCATCCCAACTTCCATGTAGTGAATCATCCCAACTTCCATGTAGTGAATCATCCCAACTTCCATGTAGTGAATCATCCAACTTCCATGTAGTGAATCATCCAACTTCGCTAACTTTGAGACTAAAGGGTAAAACAAATCGTGAATATTATGTCATATATTGCACCACTAGTAGTTCTAATGAATAAGGACTTAAAATAGGTTTCAGAATGTCAAGATGAAAGAAAAAATGGAAGTGCAAAACTTGATTGTTCACAGTTTTAAGGGAACGTATAAAGCTTGGAAAGTGAACTGGAGAGTTTAAGTTAGGAAAGTGATCATAGATCAATGGACAAGAAAGATTGTGTTGTGATTAGAAAGACGGAATATACAAATCGGGTAGCGATTTCTATATTTAATGGGTTAACAGAATTTTGGTGTAATAAATTGTAAACTTAGGAAAGAAATACATACAATGGGAAATTCAAAATCCATTCCTTGTGGTGGTAATGAACCTGTAGGTAAAATACAACTTGAGCACTCTCGTACATAAGCGGTGTAAGAAATATTCAGGACTGTGTCCTCAATGGTCTGAATATGGCTCATTTGACAGAAAAAAAGTAGGTGCCCTATATTTATAATGTTTAATGGACAGGGGTCCACGCATGACCGACAAACTGATATTTATCTTCGGACACAGAAAAATGTGCTAAAGCATTACAGGCAACGCAATTCAAATTCTATAGCGCAGGAGGTAATTTACAGAATAGAGTCCGCGGCAGGGAAATGGGAAAGAAGGAGGAGACAGAAAAACAACTGATGGTGGCTGTTTCTACTGATTCTGGCCATTGGAAAGATGCCTGCTCTCTTTTTAAAGAGAAATTAGCAAAAGAACAACAACGATATTCAGACTAGGGAGGCCCCTCAGAGAACACGACATCCCAAATTAGACCATTCATTAAAGTAGACCAATCTGGACCTAGTAGTATGGTACAACTTCAGGGGAAAGAAATCCCCATGTTAGTGGACACAGGAGCTATTCTGTCCAAATTGGTAAAAATTCTGTCTTAGAATGACCTCTTACTAAAAAAATGATTGATATTTACGGTATATCCTCCACTACGGTAATGTATTTTCAGACCAAGCCCATGCCATGTTCAGTCGGACATATTCATGTTGAACAGGATTTCCTGTACTCACCCTCTCAACAGTTTCATGTATTAGGAAGAGATTTGTTAACCAACTTAAATGCATCTATTTACTGTACTCCAGATGGCTTATTTGTAGATATCCCAGATGAAGAGTGTTTTAATCAATACGTTAGCAAACAGATAGATGACATTCCACTAGCAACTGGCGAAAGTGACAAGGGTATTTCAGAATACATTTTATCACAGGTACCAGACTGTCTATGGACAGAGCACTCTAATGATAGGGGGAGGGTGAAAAGCACTAACCCAGTTGTTATTGCAGTGAATCCCAAGGAAAAGGTTACCCCGCCTCCCACAATATCCTATTAAACAGGAGGAACCATACACACTTACTCTCCCGCCCTTTTTTATTTGTATTTTATTTAACCTTTATTTAACCAGGTAAGCCAGTTGAGAACAAGTTCTCATTTACAACTGCGACCTGGTCAAGATAAAGCAAAGCAGTGCGATAAAATCAACAACACAGAGTTACATATGGAATAAACAAAACATAAAGTCAATAACACAATAGAAGTATGAAAGATGTATGTACTCACTTAATTGTAAGTCGCTCTGGATAAGAGCGTCTGCTAAATGACTAAAACGTAAATGTAGAAAATATATATACAGTGTGTGCAAATGTAGTAAGTTATGGAGGTAAGGCAATAAATAGGCCATAGTGCAAAATAATTACAATTTAGTATTAACACTGGAGTGATAGATGTGCAGAAGATGATGTGCAAATAGAGATACTGGGGTACAAATGAGCAAAATAAATAACAATATGGGGATGAGGTAGTTAGGTGGGCTAATTTCAGATGGGCTGTGTACAGGTGCAGTGATCGGTAAGGTGCTCTGACAACTGATGCTTAAAGTTAGTGAGGGAGATAAGTGTCTCCAGGTACAGAGATTTTTGCAGTTCGTTCCAGTCATTTGCAGCAGAGAACTGGAAAGAATGGTGGCCAAAGGAGGTGTTTGCTTTGGGGATGACCAGTGAGATATACCTGCTGGAGCGCAGACTACGGGTGGGTGCTGCTATGGTGACCAATGAGCTAAGATAAGGCGGGGATTTGCCTAGCAGTGATTTATAGATGACCTGGAGCCAGTGGGTTTGGCGACGAATATGTAGTGAGGGCCAGCCAATGAGAGCGTACAGGTCACAGTTTTGGGTAGTATATGGGGCTTTGGTGACAAAACGGATGGCACTATGATAGACTACATCCAATTTGCTGAGTAGAGTGTTGGAGGCTATTTTGTAAATGACATCGCCGAAGTCAAGGATCGGTAGGATAGTCAGTTTTACGAGGGCATGTTTGGGAGCATGAGTGAAGGAGGCTTTGTTGCGAAATAGGAAGCCAATTCTAGATTTAACTTTGGATTGGAGATGCTTAATGTGAGTCTGGAAGGAGAGTTTACAGTCTAACCAGACACCTAGGTATTTGTAGTTGTCCACATATTCTAAGTCAGACCCGTCGAGAGTAGTGATTCTAGTCGGGTGGGCGGGCGCAAGCAGCGTTCGGTTGAAGAGCATGCATTTAGTTTTACTAGCGTTTAAGAGCAGTTGGAGGCCACGGAAGGAGTGTTGTATGGCATTGAAGCTCGTATACAAAATGGTGTCGTCCGCATAGAGGTGGATCTGAGAGTCACCATCAGCAAGAGCGACATCATTGATATACACAGAGAAAAGAGTCGGCCCAAGAATTGAACCCTGTGGCACCCCCATAGAGACTGCCAGAGGTCCAGACAACAGGCCCTCCAATTTGACACATTGAACTTTATCTGAGAAGTAGTTGGTGAACCAGGCGAGGCAGTCATTAGAGAAACCAAGGCTATTTAGTCTGCCAATAAGAATGCGGTGATTGACGGAGTTGAAAGCCTTGGCCAGGTCGATGAAGACGGCTGCACAGTACTGTCTTTTATCAATTGCGGTTATTATATCGTTTAGGACCTTGAGCGTGGCTGAGGTGCACCCATGACCAGCTCGGAAACCAGATTGCATAGCGGAGAAGGTACGGTGGGATTCGAAATGGTCGGTGATCTGTTTGTTAACTTGGCTTTCAAATACTTTCGAAAGGCAGTGCAGGATGGATATACAGTGGGGAAAAAAAGTATTTAGTCAGCCACCAATTGTGCAAGTTCTCCCACTTAAAAAGATGAGAGAGGCCTGTAATTTTCATCATAGGTACACGTCAACTATGACAGACAAAATGATAATTTTTTTTCCCATAAAAT